AAGAGTAAGAATTGACCTTTTCCCAAGCACTTTCCCCACCCTGTAGTGTAAACCAGTGGGCTCAACCTGATTGAACAGGTGCTGGCATATTTTTTATACTTTTGCTCAGTAACTGTGTGTCACCCTCTGGAGAAAGATGGACTTCCCAGAAGGAGTAGTCACATTCTGACACTTCGACAGCATTGGACACACAAGAAGCCTTGAAGTGATATATTTTGGTTTTTGCAGAAACCCTGGCCAGTCTGGCTCTGAAGCTGTAGTAACTATTACTGTTACAAATAGAGGAAATAAGGGAAAGTCTGTGGAGTATCAGCTTGAAACTACTCTGAAGAGGAACCTTTTAACTTAGCAGAACTGCACGAAGCTACAGTTTTGAGAGCTACATCAAACAGGGTGGTTTGGTGATAATGAGAAGTGTAACTTGCCAATGAGTGGGTACCTGAGGGTAAAAAAGACAGGAAGAGATAGTTAATAAAACTGTCAGGCAGTGGGGAGCAGACCCCTGGAGGCAGTGGAGGAGGTGTTGAGAGCAGACAAGGGCAAAACAAGGCGTGTTCACAGTATTCCCAAAGTATAATATGGTTACATTTTCTTCTGAGCCTTGTCAACATGAAAATCTTGCGCTGTTTCATTATGTTGATGCAAATGCCTTTTTTGGACACATATCAGTTGAAGTACGTTGTATATTGATTTAGCTTAAATCCATTCCTTACCACTTCAGTTAAAACAGTAGAAAGCACTCTTTAGCAAAACAACGTCTATCCTCCCACAGACTTAGCATTAATTTAACAGCATCAGTTTTTGAACTGGTTTAATTAAACTGCAAGTTCCTTGCACAGGCCAGGACTGGTTGCTGCGGAAGCAGAAGAGTGTCAGTGTCTTCTCTCAAACTTGTAAAAAGAAGCCTTTTGATCATAGACTGGAAATGTGGATTAATGTGGGACTGGCAAATACTTGGCTTGATTTTCTGTAGGTCAAGCCCTGTGAGAAGAGCCCTCAACAAAGACCATACCTTCTCAGTTGTTTCTGTGGAAGAATGGGCTTTGTAATGAGAGGATAAGCAACTTAAGTTAAATAGGAGGGACACCATGGCCAGCCTCCAAACCCAACTCATCTACAAATGTAAAACTTGCCCATCCCAGACCTACATTCCTGTCCAGTTCTGTTGGTAGGCATGGTTATCACAGGAATGAGATTCTCCTCTCTTGTATGTGCAGACTGTAGGTTTTCCAAAGCTCATCACTTTTGAGAACGGTCTGCTATTTTTCTTGCCAAGTGGAGGCTCTTATCCTCGTGGAAAAATATTTTCATGCTCCATTTCAAGTTTCAGCAATCAGCCATGTCTAGTTTTGACAAAAGGAGCTTCAAATACCTTAGGAGTGGAGGAAGGGATGTATTTTCCATTTGTGAGACACAAAAGTGTTGAAAATATTTTCCTCGTGTTTGAAGAACAAAACAAAATGAAGCACACAGTAGAACCAGTGAGTTCGTCTTGACTAGGAACAACATGAAAAATACCACTGTAGAATCTGTGCAATTAGAGTGGAATAGAAATTGCTTTATAACCTGAACTTGTTCACAACAGGGGAGCCAGATTGTTTTAGCTGACTGAGTTACTCAGGTTTTGTGAATAGGAGAGCAGAACCTCATGTGGTCTTTCTCCTGTCACATGGCAGGACCCATGGGCAATATGAACATTTAGCGGGGATGTGGAAGGTCCAGTGATTCCCACAAAAGTTTGGGTTATTGTCCTTCACTAATCCATGCACAGTTATTTCGCTGTGTGCTCCAGGTTTGATGTAGGCTTGGTCAGATGGGCTTCTGCACTCTCAGCATCTGTCATTTCCAGAAGTAATTCAGGGCATGCAGGGAGGAGGCCACGAGCTGCAAATTGGTCTGGCAGGATGCTTCCAGCTATTACCTTGTCTGGGGACTCTCGCTTGTCCTGTAGCAGAACATGCCTGTAACCCGAGGGGCTGGGAGAAGATGGTGGCCAGGTGTGGATTGCTGCAGAAGCCAGGAAAATTAATTTGGCCTGTATGTGCTCCCAGCTGCCCCTGTAAACTAGATATAACCCAGAAGAGCAGATAAAGTGGCTTCTTCATGTGTAAAGTTTGTGAGCACCTGTATATTTAGAAGGGCAAGAGACCTTGGTCAGATAGCATGGGTCTCATTTTATGGTATCTTTCTAGAGGTATTATAACATCCCCGCCCCCCACCCGCCCCCCCCAAAAAACCCCAAACCCAAACCCATACTTTGTTACCAGACATACACTACTTCTGAAAATGCCGTCTTAAGGAGGGCAGGACCAAACTGCCCAGGTTTTATTCTCATAGATCCGTTGAACTGATCTTGGCTCAGTTACTTATTTGGTATGTTGCAGAAGTAGACTTCCACAGGGAAGAATAATGACAGCAGTACTGAATGTTTAAACAAATACTTGACCTATTCAAAATGCTAAATGTTGGATAGTGTCTCATGTCTCTGGGAAGCAAAAAAGTGTCTTTTTTGTAATATAAAAAGGAGATGCTGAATTACAGGCAAAATGTTTTTTTCCAGGCTCTTCTGTGAACAGCTAGATCTGATGGCAATAGAGCGGAATAGACTAATTTTGAATCAAAAAACCCAGTGGAAATCAGGCATGAAATGTTTTAAATGAATAGATTTCCGTGTGAGTAAAGCAGGTGTGAGATGAAAATTAGACTTGAAAAATTCTGGGAAGTTGGATATCCGGGCTCCCCATCCATGCATGATTTATTAGTTCTGGCTGCCTTTCTACTCATGCTCCTTTTTCATTAAAGAAACAAGGGGGAAAGCATGAATTAACTTGTGATACACAGCTATTTATTTAGCAACTTAACTCCTGAAGTTTCCTGGGAAACAATCTGGTAAAAGAAAGGCCTGATTTTTGTTACTTTTTAAAGTCAGGAGCAACCCCACTGAATTCTGAGAAGTTACAGTAAAGTAGAATGCTGTGACTCAGTCCTTCTCTTTATATTATCTAATCATGACACACAGGACAGATTTTTTGTATAGGAAACTCATTTTTGTGCTCCATTCAAAACCAAGCTAAACATCAGTCAGACTTGTTTTGTAAACTGGCATGCTGCAAGAGAGCCACATACCATGGAAGGAAACATAAGAAGCACAAGACAAGTCTTTGTGATTTCTAGAGTGTTTGTGAGAAAACAAACTTCATGAATACAGGCAGAGGGGTCTGCACACACACATCACCAACTTCTTAGTTAACACAGGGTTCATTGTCACATGTAAGTAAAAAGCTTTAGAGCAGCTTTTTTCAGGTGTATAGGTTTTTATTATTATGAGAAATTAATTGCCATTAATTTTTCATAGAAATTATTACAAACAAACTTAAATATGTCTTGTGGGTGCTTGTGGTTCTCCCCATTCTCTGCAATGACACTGGAGTTCCCATTTTACTCTTTGGTTATATTTGCCCAGATTCTTACGTGCTGTTACCACGCTCTATTATCAGCACTATCCAGTCTGTTTTCTAACTAACTTATCGTGCCTTGGCTAGACACCACCCTGCTGCTTTCTTTTTTTCAGAGGCCCTTTTAAATTATCTCTTCCCAGACAGTTTCTTACTGACGTCTGATGTCTGCAGCACTTTGTTTATCATAGGGGAAAAAAAGGCAGATTCATCACGGGATTGTCTTTGCTTTTGGTACTGCTACAATAAGTTAATTTGTACAGTATTGTGACTAGAAAACAGTGAAATGCCCCAAAACAAATCCTGCAATGTAAATCACTCCAAACCCACAAAATGTAAAAGTGAACCTTGTAGATCTTCAAGTTGTATTTCTTGCTCTAGAAATGGGAAAACTTCTGGTGGTAAGAAAGAATTTTGTTTTCCCAGACACTGGCACCCTGTACAGCCTCTTCTAGAGCTATTTTGGGGGCTAGAACTCTATGTATGAGGACTCCTTCAAAACACTGTGTTCCACACACTTTCCTGTAGCTTCTAGGCACCTGTTGTGGTAAGGTGTTTATTTGAAGATGTCCGTGTAGCGGTTTTGAGGACATAGAGGATGTGAGGTTTTTTCCATGTCTATGTTTTCAGCTTGGAATATGCAGAAATAAAATAATTTTTTGAGTTAAGATTTCAAATGAACAGACAGAAGTTACGTGTTTTACTTCAGAATAAGATTACCAGTACCTAGCCATAGGGATTACATAAGAAATTCAGTCCCCACTTTGGGTTTGGAATATAATGCCTCACATAGCAGCTTCTCTCCATCTGTTTTGCATATAATGAAGGCTTTTATGTATTTTCTTCCTCTTTCTTAGTCATCTATTTGGTACTTAAAGATTCAGAAAAACTTCTGCATTTACTTAGAGACTAAAGCTATGATTCTGGTGACAAATGCAGGGCTAGTTTAAGTGCTCACTTCTCTTTTTTTTTTTGAACAGATTTTCCCCCCAAGCAATGGAGTTAGAGTAAAAAAAAAAAAAAAAGTAAAATACTTTATTTGCCTTACACATGGACTTATGCTTCTGGTTTTGACATAAAGAGAATCCACTCAGATGTGTGAGGTTATATATTGCCTCCAGACCCAAACAGGATGAAAGCCCCACTGTATTTACATATGAAAGCAGCATTGTATTAGGCACTAGTAAAACAAGAGGTGAAAAAGGCCCTTTGCTGAGGAGCTTAAATTGTAATTGGGTGACTAACTGGTGTGCAAGGTATGCCTCATTGCTCTGTCAGGTGCACCCCCAAGTTTTAGGTAATAATAGGTTTGGTTTAAGACATGGTGGTGTGATATATTGGCAAACAGGGGTAGGTGTGTGATGAAAAATTACCCACACATAGGCACGCTTGAGCCAAGGAAATGTTGAGAGCCACTTGTCTGGTTAATGCAAGATGCGGTGAGTGGCTCTAACAAAACAAACCAGAAGTAGGACTGGTGCGTCCTTGTCTGCTACGTGCTCTCTGAGCTCTGATGGAGAAATCTTTATTTTCCTTGTATTATAGACCAAGGTCTGGTGTACAGAGATGTATGAAGGACTTCAGGCCAACAGAATCGTACAGCACTTCACGTGAGCTGTCATCTCAGGAACACAGAAAACAGCTTCCAGTCCATGAATACATGTAAGTTTGCTTGGGATTCAGCTAAACAAGTGGGTTTAGAGACTAGGCTTGGGTGAAAACATGATACTGATATCTCGGGGGCTTACAGTCTTCCTGGGATGGAAAAGGTGAAGCCAACTGAAAAAGCAGTGAATAAAGTGGTCTTTTAAACCAGAAAAACTGAGTAAGCAGAGGTGTAAAAAGAATCGGTAAATAGACTGAAGGCATGGGTGGATAAGATGGCTGTGGTGTTACAAGGAAAGCTATCCCTCCTGGGTAGCACTGTCCTGCTATCAGGAAGGTTAATACACAGTGTGGGCTTCCCAGGCCCCTTTCCACATTGCAGTTGATTCCTGGCAAGAAATAAAGCTTGTGTTTAGTTTACAAGAGAAGAGATAACCAGTGTGTTGGGGGGTGATGGGCAGGGAGATGGATGTAGCCAGAGTGATTTTATGATGTAACAGTCCTGAGTCCTCTTGGGGAAATAAGGATCTCTCTGCATTGCGTGTTGCACTCCCAGACCTTTCTCAGTACAAATTTGGCCTCAAATGAAACCATCAGAAAAGTTGCAGAGAAATGTGAGACAACAGTAGCATGGATAACAGACAGAGAAAAGGCAGGATCTAGGATTTTTGTAGAGGAAAAACTGCCAAGTATTAAAAAGTGGCCTGAATGTGTCCACCTCTAAAAAAAAAGGGTGAGGATTCCTTAGGCACACCTCTGGGTGACAGAGAGAACGGGCATGCTGCTGGCAGCAACCAAGGCGGAAAGGAGTAGGGAGAGCCCAGAAGGGAAGGCACAAATTCATGCAGCAGAAAAACACCCAGGAAGAAGTTTTAGAGAGAAGGTTTCAGAGTTATTAAAGAGTGTGAGGATTTGATTACAGAAGTTTCTTTTGAAGATGAAATTATTAATGAAGACAGCTCATATATCAAATAGGGATAACCAAAGAGCTCAGGGTCTTCTGGAAATTACAGTGGGTATGTCTGCAGTGCTCTGTGGCAAATGCTTGATCTAGCTTTGAACTGTCGCTGGGGTTTGAGTGGCCACAGTGCCTGTCACGGGAGTTGATCTCTGGATGGTATTCTTAAGAAGTTACTTAACCCTGAGTAAGACCTGAACCACATTCAAGAGACATAGCAATAGAACCATGCTGGTTTGAACATCCTAAGGATATCCACAATTCTCAAGAGCTGTTGTAATTAGCCTGGAGAATAAGGGGAAGATGGAGGAAGGTGTCTCCCCCATAGGCTGGCTCTCTGAGGAGAAAAAAGTAAAAAGTATAATTATTAATAATTTCCAATAGATGGCTCCTGAAGTACAGAGGTGATGGCAATGCCGAGTACAAATATGAGACTGATCTCACGACCAATATTTTTGTCATACCATGAGCCAGTATCACACAGTACAGCAAAGCAATAACTTTAATCCACCTCCTAGAGGTGATAACCAGCACATAAATACTGATAAACAGTATATATGACAAGTAAGATGTTACATAACACAACTCTGAGAGCAACTAAGCCAACATTGTGACCAGCAATTACTAAGCTATTATAATGAATGCTTGCAACAAATTTGTTTTAATACGCTCTGGTCAGATCTGTCTTTATTTCAACCCTTTTAGCCCCATGTTGGGCGCCAAAAAAGACTGCTGTGGTTTAACCCAGCAGGCAGCTAAACACCACACAGCTGTTCGCTTGCTTCCCCCCCTCAGTGGGATGGGGGGGGAGACTCAGAAAAAAAGTAAAACCCATGGGTTGAGATAAAGACAGTTAAGCAGCAGAGGAACATAATAATAATAATAATAATAACAATAACAATAATAATAATAATAAATAACAACAACATAAATATACAGAATATACAAAACAAGTGATGCACAATGCAATTGCTTATCACCCGCTGACCAATGCCCAGCACTTCCTGCACCACGGTCACTGCCCCCCAGCCAACTACCCCCAGTTTATATGCTGAGCATGACATCATATGGTCTGGCATAGCCCTTTGGCCAGTTGGCGTCAGCTGTCCTGGCTGTACCCCCTCCCAGCTTCTTGTGCACCTGGCAGAGCAGGGGAAACTGAAAAAAGTCCTTGAGTAGTCTAAGCACTACTTAGCAACAACTAAACATCAGTCTGTTGGCAACATTCTTCCCATCCTAAATCCAAAACACAGCGCTATGCCAGCTGCTAGGAAGAAAATTAACTCTGTCCCAGCCAAAACCAGGACAGTAAATATTCTATGAAAAAGCACCAAGAGCATAATCAGTGAAGAATGCTCCTGTTTGCCACAGTTTTCATCAATCATTAATCGGCCTTTCTTCTTTCCAGTTCTGTTTTCTTCTGTTTCTGTCTTGCTCAGGTCAAGGCCTTTCTTCAGCGCGGTGCAGTTGCACTGGTGCCCCAGCGGAAGTTTATGTGTTGAGGAAAGGAGTTTCCTGAATTGCTTCTGCCATAAACATTCCAGCTAAATGCTACAGCCTGGAAGGGCTCCAGAGCAGAGACCCTGAAAAACACAGCCCAGCTGCTCTGAGAGATAATAGCTGCCAAATGAGTGTAGCTGTCTGCAAGAAGCCATGCAGGGGGATATGGCTTACGCTGTTCTGTTTGAAATGTGAATCAAAGTCATTAGGTTGTTTTTGCCATGCTAATGAAATGGTCTTGTTCAAAGACTAATGGAGATAAGAAATCTGTATTTAATGGCCATGGAGGGCCTGGCTTGTGGCTCTGGTTGCTGTCTGTTCACTCGTAGCTATGACTGCGTATGTGCATATAATGTTTCTTTCTGTTAATTGTATTCTTCATGATTGGAGAACAGCCAATACATAGTGCTGATTCTCAAGAATAGACATTTTTCTTTCTAGGACCTTTGGTTCTTTTCCTTGCTGAGTCAATCAACCAGTTTGCCTGTGATGCACCCACATTCAGAGCTGTACCGCTAGTATGTTCATGCAAGGGGAGACAGGTTTGATCTGACCGGAGGCAGGGTGACTGCAGGTGTGTCATCACAAAGTGTGACATGGGAGCATCTCTCTTTACCAGTGCGAGCTGATGGCTGGCAAGTCAAACTCTTCTGGTACAGCAAACTTAGGAGTACTACTTTGATTACATAGGCTGAATTGGCTTTATGCTGTAGGTTCTGGCTTAAAGTTGATGGAGATGAAAGGTAACGGTTAACATTAAAGTTAGTGGGTGAGATGAAAAGGATTACGTGTGTAACTGTAAGTGCAGTTCACATCCAGTGGAAATATTTTGCAGAAGCAGCAGATTTTATTGTGGTTCTGTATTGAGCTCTTTTTATCAGGAAAAGCATTGCAAATATTCTCCCTGAGATGCAGAATGCTTTCCAGAGCTTCCCAAGTACATGAGGAACAAAGTCAGTGCAGTAACCACCAAAGAGACGCAGGGTGCTGCTCACCGACCGCCTGGCCACTCTTACCACGTAGCACACTTAGCGCTGTGCCGTGCCGAGAGCCCAGTGAAGCAATGTTTCATCTGGCTGGTCCTTCTTTCCCACTGAACGGGTTAGGATCCAATCCCTCTAAGTGCAAAACAAAACAGCCTTTCTCCTCACAGCATTTTAGAAACATTATTTTAACACCTCTGCCCCATGTTTTCTTAAATTTCCCTGTGTTTTTCTGTCAGAATCTGAATCCCCCATCTTTCATTTTCATGCACTATCATTTTAACCTGTTAAAAATGGAAGATGGCCTCTATCTCTCCCTTGCAGAGCATGTTCGGTATACATTCAATTTGTGGCCCTTTAACCTTTATATTGTGCCCGTTCAAGGGTAAGCGTTTAGAGAAGAAAATGTCAATCTGATTACGTATAAAAGATGTGCTCCGCTATTTTTGTAAAATAAAAGCAGACCTATGGCAACAGAAGCAGCAAAGGACACCACCTTCCCAGACCACTTCTCTCCATTTCTAGCCAGAGCTGCTCCTTCCACTTGGGTTTGATTACTTTGTATGGGAACTCCAGCCGGCGGGCGTGAGGGTAGCTAGCACCATCGTTAAGTTTCCTAGCCTCGCCTCTATTCTTTTTCTGCTGATTTCATGATAAGTAATGAGATTTTGGACCCTTGCTTCTCACCAAACCCTAAAGGTCCTAAAGCCAGAAGAAAAAAGTGAGCCCTGCCTGGGAAAAAAAACCAACCAAAAACCAACAACCCATCCGACTGACCCCGTGCCCGGTTTCCTCACCTCCCGGGAAGGGGCGAGGGGGTGCCGGCCGGCAGCCCGGGGCAGGGCTGCTGCGCTCCCCCCTCCCGGCGGCGGAGGCTCC